AGTAGTATCAGAGCAAAGTCAGAAGTGGTATCAGAGAAAAAAGCCAACAGTACAATGTTCTAATCGTATTAACATTCATTTCTGTTATTTACCTAAAAATAAATAAAAAAAAACATTCATTTCTGTTGCTGGGTTCTTATCTCTTTATAGGTAGTATGTAGTTGAGGATGATATACTGTACATTTAAATACATTCAAAAGTTTCTGGCAACCTCTTGGGCCATCTCCCACTGAATATACAGATACAATATGGGGAAAGAGAAGGTAAAAATGGTTGAAAATATTTAGAACGCCGTCACAAATCTTAAAAGTAAAAAGTTCTCCAGAAGTACATATAACAGGTAGCACTGTAAGCAGTTGATGGAAATTTCCTTCTGCTGCCATGGCATTAAAATAGCCAATTGCAGCTTCCCTAGCTGGGATAGTTTTACAGGGTTTTTGAAAACTTTAATTCTTGCGGTATTGTTACCTGATAAAACAACACGTGCAATGCTGAAAGATTCGCTTTTTTCAACTGCGAATTGCCACTCTTTCACAGAAATAGCGAATCAATCCTTCGTTTTAGAATTGGTTGCTTTCACTTCTATGTACTCCATGCTCCTCTTGCTATCCCCTATGACGATGTCAAAGGGTAGCTGTGGCGACCTTGTGGGCGGGTGTGTGTGAGCGTGTGCGGGGGGCACCAGTAGGCTACCACACTGGGCGAGTTACAGGTGCATAATTTCACAACGTCTGGGTGTGGATGGGGCAAGTGTTATATGTAGATTCAACACCCTTCTATGACACAACGTGTTTTAAAGCCGTGATGGCCTTGAACCCATCAGAACTCTGTAGTTAAGCGTGCTTAACTTGGAGTAGTACCAGGATGGGTGACCCCCTGGGAAGTCTCTGGTCTGGGTGAGTCAAAAGCGGACAATATTGTGTCTGGCTAGGGTGAGGGTCGTTACAAATGGTATCAGAGCCTGACCCAGCCGGAAGTGTGGCCAACGAGGACGTTGGGCCCCAAAGGGGGGGTGATTGTGGTGACCTTGTGGGCTGGTGTGTGTGAGCGTGTGCAGGGGGCACCAGTAGGCTACCACACTGGGCGAGCTACAGGTGTACAATCCCACAACGTCTGGGTGTGGATGGGGCAAGTGTTATATGTAGACCCAACACCCTTTTATGACACAACGCGTTTTAAAGCTGTGATGGCCGTGAACCCATCAGAACTCTGTAGTTAAGCGTGCTTAACTTGGAGTAGTACCAGGATGGGTGACCTCTTGGGAAGTCTCTGGTCTGGGTGAGCCAAAAGCGGACAATATTATGTCTGGCCAGGGTGAGGGTCGTTACAGTAGCCCAGTCTCAGTATTAGGGTTTTCAAAGGTATGAAGAAGAGGTATTTTAAAAAAATAAAATAAAATAAAACAAAAGCCAATGTAATTTCTAATGAAGGTTAATTCAAGCCTCAAGGATAAAACCTACTCATGGCTTGACTTGTTCAAATTCATATAATTGGTCAAATTGACTTATTTGCAAATTTTTTTTAAAGAGAATTTATTGCATAACTCTACAAGTTAAGTGGGTCTGAAAAAGTATTCTTGATATACTATTTGTTTAGGATAATATTTGTCTGCTCATCTATAAATATTAGTACTAATCGGTGATGTTATCTAATCACAAATGTACATATAATATGCTATTTTAAAATTAAAAAAATTAATAAATAAGAAAATAAATTTTTTTTTTGAAATAAATTCAATCACTCTTGATTTTGCAACTACACACAACCACGGACCCAACATGGGACCGGGGGGGCTGATGCCCCCCTGAATTTTTAATATTTTCATTTTATACTCAAATTTTTAAAAAATTTTATGAAAATACCCCCCTAAAATTACAATTCGCCCCCACTGGATTCTTTTTTTTTTTTATATTTCAAATTTTGATAATTTATGAAGATGCCCCCATTAGAATTATAATTTGCCCCGCTGATTTTTTTTTTTTCATTTTATACTTTAAATTTTTAAAATTTATGAAAAAAAAACCCTATTAAAATTACAAAAATGAACCTATCATATAATTTTGTACCCACAAATTAAAAAGCCACCTCCCCTCACAAAATTTTCTAAATCCGTCACTGATTACACACGACGTGTATATTTATTATTGTGCCACATTAACGATCCGTAAAGATCATCTACTCAGCGATGAACAAACAAGTATTGTACATTTGTTTACATGTTTGTAGGAAGGTAAATTAGTACTCTTGATTTACATTATTTCTTAACATTATGTTATCTCAAACTCTTCTATGATTCAAGTATGGGTATTGATTGTGGTGGGACCATGTATAGTAAAGAAAAATGCAAAATATGTGAATTGTGAAGGTGAGGGAATTTATGCCTTTAGGTAATGGCTCTTGTGGGTTGTGATCCAATTCTACTTGATTAATGCATGCCCTGTTCCTTTCCATTCCGGCAAAGGGATTGGATTGATAACAACACAAATGGACATCTTTTCACCGACCTTTTTTATTCAATCACACGTGTGCATTCATATACATATAGACAGTGGCGGAGGGATTGGATTGACAACAACACAAATGGACATCTTTTCACCTACCTTTTTTATTCAATCACACGTTTGCATTCATATACATATAGACAGTGGCGGAGGGAGGCATGTGCCCACCTTAAATTTTGGTTTCTTATACCATTATATGCATAAATTTTTGAAAGTTCAAATATGGGCTCCTCAAAAAAAAAAAAAAAAAATTCAAACAAATTAATGATAGGACGGGGTGATTTTGTCATTCACCAACTAAAGCCTAAGAAATTACTTTTTTCTGGATGTGTCATATAATATAAAATATATTGTTTTGTGTTTTTACAAAGTCCAAAAGATAGATTGTTAAAAGTAAGTTCTCGAGGTCTTGTTTTTGAGCCGTACTCATGACTTGAATGGTGCGTAAGTTGTGGGCTCGATATACTTATTCTAAAGAAAGAAACAAAACAAAACAAAACAAAAAAAGCAAGGGAATCATAGCATAGAACAAGAGAATCATTTAAATAAACCCATTATCTAAAAATTAGTCATAGCCCATAACAAATTTGCCTCGCTAAAAAACCAAATGCATCATCTCCTCCAGTGGTGCCTTCATTCAGGCGAGGCAGAGCTTGGGAGAAGCTCAGGCTTCTGCATCTAAAAGTGTTTGAAACTTCTCACTTCTCTTCCTCTTTGGTACACTCTCTGCAATCAAAGAATTATTGAAGTGTTTGATATTTTTGTTTAGCGAAAAGATTGATTTGTGTTTGGGTCGATTTTTTTTTTTCCTCCTATCAATTACACCACACCCCCTGAAAGACAATCCTGACTCCGCTCCTGCATATAGACCATATGTATGTGGGTCTCAACACAAATTCATGGATCATAAAATATGGTGTAATCCATCATTGATATTCCCTAAGAACTGATTCGTGGAAAAAGGTTGAAGGCCTTCTGCCTAAACCTTTATCTGTTTCTGTTGGGATACTGCTGAATGGAGCAATCCACTGGCTCTTCCCTTTGAAAAGGCGATTAAAGATTGTTGCTTTCTGTTTTGCGGATAAGAAATTCTGTGAGTTTCCGCTGCCTACTCTCTCTTTTTGTTGCACATCCGAACTTGGGTTGCTTGGAGGATGTCTGTATACTACTAAGTCGTGGCAACGAAATTTGGGTGATGAAGGAATACGGCGTGATACAGTCTTGGACCAAAGTGGTGATTGAAATCCCATCTTTCAGAATCCAAAAATTGGGTAGCTTGGAGAATCATGAAGCCATATTAAAGATATACTCCAAGAAGTTAGTTCTATACAACACGAGAAAGAACATATAGGGATCTGGTACTTCCGGATTTCTTCGATGTGACAAGGATTGGAGCTTATGTGGAGAGCCTCGTATGGCCCTGTTGTGGAAATTTGAGTTAGAGGCAATATGAAGTTCGAATTAAATTCAAGATAAAGGATGACTACGAAGGTATACCAACTAACTAAATTATGTCGTCTTCACTTTTTTCCTACTTAAGATTTTCAATATGTTAGTAGGTTTTGGAGTTTGATTGATTTGTTTATATTTATATATATAAATATATTATTTGTTAATGAAACCTTAGTGACTTGTTTAGCTCCCTGTTGAAGGTTTGAGTTTTAATCCAGTATGTAGAGAATGTTGTGAAAGCTTAACAAAAAGTATTGGATGATGGGAATGTTGTGAAAGCTTTCGTTTTTGAAAAAGTACAAAATTACTGAATGCTTGGATTGTGGCTTATAATTTTCTAGAACTGCTCTAAACGGTTTTTCTATTATCATTTTCTTCACAACTCACAATCAAAACATGCTTTACGACCATAAGCAAAAACAGTAAAGGCTAAAAGTGGGGAGAAAGCAACAGCGAGACATTATGCTAATATCAATTAAATATTTTATTTATTATTTATTATACATAAATTTCAGGGAGATAAGCTACTTTTAAAAGAAATATAAGTGCAAGGGGAGGAGCATAACCCCCAGGGATATTCCATGGACGTTTGTTTTTAGCAATTGATAAAGAGTAGCTGAAAGCCTCTGGTAAAAAGGCAAAATCATGAGCACCTTACCACAAGCCAGACACACACAGCTGAAAACACATTAAAACGAGAAAATACCACCTTAACAGGAAGAACAAACCACAGGTTAACCTAGACACAGATATTATAGAAAATTCCATCAATAGAGATAACAGTAAAAACTTGTACTAAACGAGATAAGAATTTTGTAGCCAACAGCCGGTCTAACACCCCAATTCTGAGTCTAACACCCAATTCTGAGTGTGGCAACCAGACAATGGAGACAAAAAACTGCAGCAAACAAAGCAACAAACTAAACTACTACTTATCACCATAAAACTAGAATAATGTTGCAGGTTTTTGGTATGAAAATGGTGTACAAGTGTAAACTATATCCACCGCAAACTCCCAACTTTAAAAGTCAGTTCTCTGCCATTTGATTACGCCTTCTCCCCACATTTGATAACGCCAACAGGAACGGTTAGTCGCCTGTCCCTGACAGCCCTGTCCCTGACAGAAAATCGTCCAAGTCGGGAGTACGCCGAGTAAGTTTCCACCACCATGGGTTTGGTGGGAATCACCTTGACCGTCCCAGCATCACTAGAAGGATCCTTCTTGGCAGCAGATTTGGTGACTTCATCACCAGGAGGATACTTCTTCTCCACACTTCTGATAACGCCAGCACCAACGGTTTGTCGCATGTCCCTGACAACAAATCGTCCAAGTGGGGGGTACGCTGAGAACGTTTCCACCACCATGGGTTTGTTGGGAATCATCGTGACCATCCCAGCATCACCCTTCTTCAAGAACTTGGGCTCCTTCTCAAGCTCCTTGCCAGATCTGCTGTCAATCTTCGTCAAAAGCTTGTCAAACTTGACAGGGATGTGACAAGTGTGGCAGTGAAGAACCGGAGTATACCCATTCCGAATCTGGCCAGGGTGGTTCATGATAATGACCTGGGATGTGAAGTTAATAGCTTCCTTGGCTGGATCATCCTTTGAGTTGGATGCAACATAACCACGCTTGAGATCCTTCACTGCAACATTGTTCACATTGAACCCAACAATGTCACCAGGCAGACCTTCCTGGAGAACTTCGTAGTGCATTTCCACGGACTTAACTTCAGTGGTCAGCCCAGTAGGTCCAAATGTGACGAGCATACCGGGTTTCAGAACACCAGACTCAACCCTTCCCACTAGGACAGTGCCAATACCACCAATCTTGTAGACATCCTGAACTGGAAGACGCAGTGGCTTGTCTGATGGCCTCTTGGGCTCTGAAATCAAATCGATGGCCTCAAGAAAGGTTGGGCCCTCATACCAGTCGAGGTTTGTTGAACGTTCAAAAATGTTGTCACCATCGTAACCAGATATCGGGACAAAAGGAATCTTATGAGGATTGAAGCCGACCTTCTTCAGGCAAGATGAGACTTCCTTCACAATTTCATCATATCTTGCCTCAGAGTACTTGGGAGTGGTGGCATCCATCTGCAAAAATGAATCACACTTTACCATACTATTAATACGCATACCACATAACAGGTCTAGATTGTAAAATAATGTATTTCAAAAATAAAGAGACATTTCACCTATTGATCAGCAACACTAAAGCAAAAATAAATAATAAATCTTATGTAAAACATAAATTAAGGAATGCAAATGGGATTTTAACTTTTATGACATCCATCGGGACCGACGGGGCTTGAACCCGCAGCTTCCACCCCAAAGGGCGGTGCTCTAACCAATTGAACTACAATCCCGGTATAAATATCATAAGGAGTCTCCTTGAAATGAACAACCAACTCGATTTGCCACTACGTATATAATCCAAGATACCCCTGACATATAATGAAGGGACCGTTTCATAGAGGAGGGGGAATATGTATATTAAAACACATGCTCTCAAAAAATAAAAAAAATATAAGACAAACAACAATAATAACAAGCAACTAGAATATAATTAACCTTGTTACAGCAGCAAATAATCTGCTTGACACCAAGAGTGAAAGCAAGAAGAGCATGCTCACGAGTCTGGCCATCCTTGGAAATACCATCTTCAAAACCACCAGTGGTGGAATCAATAACTAGGACAGCACAGTCAGCCTGGGATGTCCCAGTAATCATGTTCTTAATAAAGTCACGATGCCCGGGACTATCAATAAATGTGCAGTAGTACTTGGGGGTCTCAAATTTCCACAAGGAAGTATTAATTGTGTGTCCGCGCTCACGCTCACTCTTAAGCCTGTCAAGCAGCCATGCAAACTTGAATGTACTCATGTTCTTTTCAGAAGCTTCCTTCTCAATCCTTTCAAATACATGCTTGTCGATACCACCAAGCTTGTAGATCGAGTGTCCTGTGGTGGTCGACTTGCCTGAGTTGACATGGCCAATAACAGCAATGTTGATGTGACACTTCTTCTCCTTGCCCATTATAGATCTCAGGAATTAAACTGCAATATAGAATTGAAATTAACAGTACTCAAGTGGCATGTTCATTGAAAATAAAAAATAATAAAGAGTAAAGCAAAAGAAAACACTTTACTAGAAAAGGAGCTTTACATCCTCAACAGTTTTCAAACTGATCAAATACAATAATAACAAAACCACAATAATTTAGCTATTCAAAGAAGCTTTACAGATTATAAGATAGCATGGTTTGCAAAAAATCAGATTATTCCTACATAACAAAATAAATGAAATGAAAGCATACAAATTCAACTATGAACTGCAATTTGAACCCAAAAAAAAAAAAAGCAAACCAATATTTCTCAAAATCAGCATACAAAACTGACCGAACAACCAAGTCCCTATCATTTCAACGGAAATGACAATAAAAAAAAATAAAAATAATAAAAAAATCAAATTATTTTAATCATTTATAATGCATAAACATAAAAAATAAATCAAACAACTTTTCCGTATTACAAAAAAATAAAAATAAAAAAATCATAAAAAAAATTGACACAAGGGGAGATAAATACATAAATCAAACCAATTAATCAAAATACAGGATATATTTTTTTTCATAATATAGATTGGGAAGCAAATTCTAATACATAACCAAATTTACCAGAAATTTAAAATAGTTAAAAATAAGAATCGTCATAATTTATATCAATAAGACATCAACGTTAACCATCGATTATACTATATGATACAAAAATGACACATTGTAGATGTGCTTTAGAAACTAAAGTGTACATTCATAAACATAAATTTATGTGTGTGTGCATGTATGCATAAATCCCGTGACTGAAGAGTCCACAACCATACCACATAAACACATAATAGATCTAAAAATAACCTCAACAAATCAGACAGAGAACTATATTGCATCACATATAGTGGACTAGTACAACTGCAATACAAAATTGAATACGACAGAACGATCTATCAGTACTAAAGTTGCATGTTCATGAAAATAAAAAATAAAAAATAAACAGTAAAGCAAAAGAAAACACTTTGATGAAAAATAGCAATTACTAGAAAATGAGCTTTACATCCTCAACAGTTTTTACACTGATCAAATACAATAATAACAAAACCACTATAATTTAGCTATTCAAAGAAGCTTTACAGTTTATAAGATTGCATGGTTTGCAAAAAATCAGGCAAAAACTAAATTGCAAATTTTCAAAAATAAACCAGAGTGAAAGTATTTAGCAAGTCCATTTCAATCAGTTTATAGTTAGTACAATATTGAGAATCTCACAAAGATTCATTGAATCAGTGAATTTTCATTAACTGATCTCATCTCATCTGTTACATAATCAAAACCACATGAACACAAAATCAAAGCAGCTCGGAATATAAAAACTCCATGTAAATTAATTTACTCAAAATCAGCATACTGTATAAAACTGACCGAACAACCCAAACACTGAGTTTGGCTACCGGTTAGTTTAGTGAAAGAAAGCTCGACCACTGCACTGGTATAGCGAAGAAAGGAGGTTGACTTAAAGAGACATCAGCAACTTCAGGGAAGAGAAGTCTATTTAATCATTTATAATGCATAAACGAAAAAAATAAATCAAACAACTTCTCTGTATTACAGACACACACAAAAAAAAAAACAATAATAATAATAAATAAATAAAAATAAAAATAAAAATAAAAAATCATAAAAAAATTGACAAAATAAATCTAAATGATATAATCGTCATAATAGTTAAAAATAAGAATCGTCATAATTCATATCATACGTTAACCATCGATTATACCATATGATATAAAAATCAGCACATTTTGTACATTCAGAAACATAAATTTATGTGTGTGTGCGTGTAAGCATAAATCCCGTGAACTATATGAATATACCTTCGTAGCTGAAACCCTAAGCCGCAACCAAATTTCACAGCAAATTTGAACAAATTTAAACATCGGAGTTTATTGAGTTGAGTTCCACAAATAATCAACAAAAAAACCAATAGATTGATCTAAAAATAACATCAACAAATCAAACAGAGATCTACGCATCATATATAGTGAACCAACGCAACTTTCACGAGAACGAACACATAAACATAACATAGACTGAGTATATCATGTAAAATCGAGTATGAATTGAATAAAAAACTTAGAGATGTATCAATATACCTTCGTAGATCTCTGAGAGAAATAATGGAACACTGACACTGAAATGCTAAGCCGCAACAACACTGGAGGAAGAACAAAGCAGATACAGAGCAAAGGCAATTGGGGAGTGCATGCCATTTTATAGCCAAAAAGACTCCGCGAGAGCTGGGTTCACATTAATGCCCTTTGAAGAGAGGAAGAATAACGAAATTGTCCGACCTTAAGAACAGTGTCAACGATTGAATCGAAGGTCTTTAAAATTTGGGTCACGCCAGCGCTCCCTTACGATGTCGTTTTGGGGACCAGAGCCTTTTTTTTATTATTAAAAAAATCAGACAAAAAATATATTGTATAGGCATTTTTGTCCAAAAACAATTTGATTTGCGCCAAAATAAATTTAAAAAAAAAATTAATTTTGTTTTTTTCCCTTAAATTTTGATATTTTTTAAATTGCTTTAAAATTCTGTCATAAACAGTACATTTGGCCAATAACGGCTATAATTTAAAAATTAAAAATTAAAAAAAAATAAATTTCATTTCTCTTTTATAAATACCTTAACTCCTATTACAATTCACCTCACGTCTAACCCTTCTCTATTCTTTACCATTCAATCTATTTCATGTTTTATTTTCTCAAACTTGGCTATTATTTTCAAACTCAATCCGATTTCATAGATCCAAATCAAGTAACTCTCAACCTTCCACACAACAATCGATTATCCGAAATTCAAATTAGTCCACAGTCGAAAATGAGGCTTTATGTTAGGCGTGAATATCCATTATCTCTGATGTGATTACGGAGGCAAATCGAAGTAAGAAAAAGTTATGAAAGGTGAATTCTCAAAAGTTATGTTCAACATCTTGGTGTTTCATCTTCACGAAATGCAAGAGCTTTGAAGAATCGTTGGTCCACCATCCAAAAATAAATCAGCAAATTTTCTGGGTGTATGACTAACATTGAAATGAATCGTCACACTGATCTGGTGAGTTATTTATTGTTTTAAATATAACTCGTAAATATTCTAAACATTCAGCTTTTAATTTATTCTTTATTATAAAAACATGGAGTTTTGGGTCCATGAGTCAAAATCCACACATTTCAAGAAATGAAATATTGTAACAAAACTTACAAATACATGAAAAACTTACAAAAGACATGGGTTAATACCACTTGAAGCATGGTAAATTATAACATGCTAGCTATAAAAGAAATGTATATGGTTATGTTCGGTTGTATAGAATTAGAGTTTTGAAATTAGAATTAGAATTGCGCTGTGTTTGGCAGCATGAAATTGAAGCCTTGAAATTGGAATAGTAGAAAATTTTGGTTTAATTTTCTGAGTTATTTTTTTTTTTTTTTCAATTCCACCAATTCTAATTACAAAGCTTCAATTCCATTCCATGACTGCCAAACATAGATATCAATTCCACATATGGAATTGGAATTTACATATATGAAGAATATTGTAAATTGATCTATATTAAACCCCTATCTTTATTATAGAGTACGACTTTATACACTACAATAACACTAATAAATAATATATGGTAGAAATAAATATTCGTATATTTATTTATATCATACTAGTGGATCTCATAGAATAATTTTAATCCGCTCATTTCATTTAAGACGCAAAATTGGAATCCTTTTCCTTTTTTTCTTCCATCAACTCAGAAGTCAAGTTTTATTCAAATTAATTAATCGTTTTGACTTATTGTTTTTACATAAATGATAAGCAAGAAAATTAAACCAAAATTTTTTTCAATTCCAATTCTAAGGCTCCAATTCTATAAAGCCAAAGACAGCCTACATTGAAACCTGTAAGAATAGTAAAATTATGGACTAATACAATGCATGCACAATACAGTATCAGTACAATGTTCTAATCGTATTAACATTCATTTCTGTTGCTGGGTTCTTATCTCTCTATAGGTAGTATGTAGCTGAGGATGATATACTGTACATTTAAATACATTCAAAAGTTTCTGGCAACCTCTTGGGCCATCTCCCACTGAATATACAGATACAATATGGGGAAAAAGAAGGTAAAAATGGTTGAAAATATCTACAACGCCGTCACAAATCCTAAAAGTAAAAAGTTCTCCAGAAGTACATATAACAGGTAGCACTGTAAGCAATTGATGGAAATTTCCTTCTGCTGCCATGGCATTAAAATAGCCAATTGCAGCTTCCCTAGCTGGGATAGTTTTACAGGGTTTTTGAAAACTTTAATTCTTGCCGTATTGTTACCTGATAAAACAACACGTGCAATGCTGGAAGATTAGCCTTTTTCAATTGCGAATTGCCACTCTTTCACAGATATAGCGAACCAATCCTTCGTTTTAGAATTGGTTGCTTTAACTTCTATGTACACTCTTCTCGTTACCCCCTATGACGATGTCAAAGGGTAGCCCTTTTGAATTCTAAATGAGTTCTATGCATCTTTCTTTCTTTTCAACATTTTTTTTTTTGGGTTATAAAGAAAGGTTCTTGCCACTGTCAGCCGAAACAATTTTGTCTGGCCTGTCTCTACTAGGGACTGAGACTTTGGAAATAATTTCTTTAATGCTTATCCCATTTCCTTATTTTCAGAATGTCAGCCACTTTTGCACTTTTGTCCAAACCTGGTTCATGTATAATTCTATACCCTTTAGCCAAAGGAATAGGTCAACAAGACTGCCAGTATAGTCCAGCCAGATAGAAGTATATCTCCCATTTCAATAACATGCTTAATTTTCACCCTTGGAGTGTCTTTCGGTCAGAACAGTTGTCTCAAAAACTAAGATGATGAGGATGAATCTTATCCTTCCAGAAAATTTTACCTTTTAAAAGGTTAGCACTGAACCAATCTGTC